AAAGAATTTCCAAAAATTATTTATTTTTTTACTCAGAGTACTCTATTAGAATACTAAGTATATGGCCGGCGCTGTGGCTCACTAGGCTAATCCTCCACCTGCGGTGCTGGCACACCGGGTTCTAGTCCCGGTCGGGGCGCCGGATTCTGTCCCGGTTGCCCCTCTTTCAGGCCAGCTCTCTGCTGTGGCCCGGCAGTGCAGTGGAGGATGGCCCAAGTCCTGGGGCCCTGCACCTGCATGGGAGACCAGGAGAAGCACCTGGCTCCTGCCATTGGATCAGCGCGGTGCGCCGGCCACAGCACGCCAGCCGCAGCAGCCATTGGAGGTTGAACCAATGGCAAAAAGGAAGACCTTTCTCTCTGTCTTTCTCCTTCTCTCACTATCCACTCTGCCTGTCAAAAACAAACAAACAAACAAACAAACAAAGTATAGAGGCAGACAGTAATAAATTTGGTACAATGGTTAAGACCCACTTGGGATACTCACATGCCTTATTAGGGTGCCTGAGTTCAAGCCCCAGCTTTCCTTCCAATTTCAGCTTCCTGTGAATGTGCACCCTGGGAGATAACAAGTCATGGCTCAAGCATCTGGGGCTCTACCTGGAACTTGAGTTCCAGGCTCCTGGCTTCAGCCCGGCCCAGTCCTGGCTGTTGTGGGTAATTGAAGAGTGAACCAACAGCTAGGAGAGCTCTGTGTATCTGACTGTCTCTACCTTTCAAATAAATAAAACTAAATAAATAAATGTTTTAAACACTAGAAGAAGTATATGGTATAGTGAACAAGTTGAAATGTATTCCTTTAGAGTGCGTGTAGCAGGCATGAGCTTTCCACTTCCTCTCTGAATGGAGAAGCTACAGGAGTCATGTGAGCAGGCAACATGCCCAGGAAACTAGAAGTGAGTTTTCCTCCTGATGATGGTGGCCTTGGTTAGTGAGAAAATGAAAATAAATGTATATGACAAGTGAATGTGAAGCTAGAGATGTGTCTTCCATCTCAGAAAACTTGGACTAACCTCTACATTCTTTGTTTAAATTGCAAAATAAACAAATCTCTGGTGCCTCTGAAATGTAGTAGGGACTTTGTGAGTATTTATAACTGAAAAAAACAGAAAGGAGGCAACAGACAAACTATTCTTATTATAGCAATGCTTATATTTATAGCAATCCTGGTTTTTATTTTCCTCATACAGATCAGAAACCTTAAATAACCACCAAAGAGACTAAGTAATCAGATCCTTAGCAAACAACTTTGATACCCTTGGAGACTGTGGTAATACACTATTTTACATAATCTTAGGGGTCCCTAGTGCAACTCTATAAACACTCCTTGTTAAATAAGCAAATTCCCAACTTGTAGACTATAGATGCAGATGTGTATTGTATTTCTGGATAGTTTGGAGTCTTTTCTTTCTAAAGGTCTCCAAACCCTGAGATTACTGCTTAGATTGTATCTAGATTGATGGAAGCAGTGGATAGGCACTGTGGTCATGATTTCTGCCCCCAAAATAGTTGGTAACTTCAGCATGTATCAAAACACTCAAGAGTGTTTATTAAAGTGCAAATTCCGGGCTGGATCATAAGGGATCCTATTTTTGTTTTGTTTTGTTTAGTCTGGGGCAGAGCATAGGAATCTGCACTTTTAATATATACCACTGGAGGAGCGGGGACTCACACACTGCTCTAGCATTTCAAAGCATTTTAAAATTCTTTGCTGGATACGAATATTATTTTCTCTTTTGAAAGATAACAGTTTCAGAGATCAACTAAAGTTTCTGATCCTCAGTTTGTTATAGAACTAGGCTCTATCTCTCCCACCATATTGGAAATTGTCTTAAACTGTACCCACTATGTTATTTAAATGAACTCTTGCATTATTATTAAACTTCCTAGATAGTTTTGTTTATCTCTCCAACAAGTTTGTGTTCCTGGGAGGCAAGAAATTTACTTATAAATTTTTAAAAACATTTTCAACATTATCTAGTGTTGTTAATAAATATTTATTAGGCCCTCAATAAACACATTTAATTTTGGTTAAAATGCAGCAAGAGTTGCTTTAAAATCCGCTTTAGCTTCTGAGGCGTGAAGCCACCTGTCTTGTGGATATCGCTCCAAACCAAGTAGTTCTAATATTCGCTTACATGGTAGAAAATAGAGGCCACACCTAATATTCATTAGAAATTGGCAACTGCACTGGGGCTCCCTTATTTAGCCACAAGGAAAAGGCAGAATGACAGTAATAGCTTTGACTGATTACTTGGCAAGGGAAACCAAGCCCTTAGGGTGTTCCAGGCTCTCTTTGGCCTATAAACCTGTTTGAAAACCTGTTTCTCAGAATTTAAAGCTCAGCTCAATTGAGGTCAGTATTACAGTAACGTCAATAATTCTAGTGCTTTCAGCCTTTAGGCAGACCAGTACAATTCATCACTAACTTTATTTTCATGGAAAGGCAACTTTTGGGAAAATGGCTCTAACTTGAGCTATTTTATTTTGATTTTCTTTCCCTTAAGAAATAGTTCTGCCAATATTGCTTCTTTTGGATTTTGTGCTTTCTAAAGCTTAACACCTTCCAGTGCCTGAAATTATTCCCTAAAATCAGAATGGTTCTGAATACATAAAATGTGGGGCACCACCAGAGCCATAACTCGAAGCTTGCAGAAAAGGACCAAATAAGCTACTGGGCCCGAAAGTAATTTTCAGTAATTGGGACTTCATGAGGTTTAAAAATTGCCCCTGCCTTTTGCTGGATTTTAGGGGAATGATACTGAGCTACACTGCCTAGTGGAATATTCTGACGGGGCCTATTTCTTTCTCTTAGAAGCCAGAGGATGAATGAATAATCAGCTAATGTTCATTCTCCTCACCACTCGGTGCACAATCAGGAGTACAGGCTCCAAGTAGATTAACCACATCCTCTCCAGGTAAGGACCTCCATGCCGTGGGCTGGCAGTGAGGTGATGAGCCAAGGTGTGGGTTGGTTGTTCATTTGCTATGAGATTTCCCTCTTTTGTTTTTAGAAACTGAAGAAGGAAAACAATTCTCAAGATGAGTATTTATTGAATTAGATCGTGTAATTAGTTTAAGGTAGGAAAGGTATTCATTCACACCCAGATAACACTATTATTTTCCTGTGAAAAACTGTACCTGTACATTTAGAGGATTTTGCTCCTAATAGATGAATTTATTAAGATGGATATAACTTCAAGGTTCAATATTTCTCTGAATTGATATACTAACATGAAACTAAACTGAACACAGTAAGAAATAATCAAGTGGAGCTACTCATCCTATATTAAAGACTTATTTGATCATCTTGAGCTCCCTGTGGGCAGAGCCTAGGTCTTATTTATTTTTCTGTTGTTAGCACCCAGAACTCTGTTTGCACAGTACAGCATTAAATAAATAATTTCATGGTTGCAATTTAGTGACTTCAATATATTCTTTTCTATGGAATGGAGAATGGTTTAAATTCGCAATAATTTAAGGGCCAGTAGAGGGCAATAGAGCTGAATTTTTTTAAAATGTATGTATGTATGTATTTAAATAATTCATCAGACCCAGTTTCTTTTTTCTTTTCTTTTTGTATGTGTGTTTTTTTTTTTTTTTAAGATTTATTTATTTATTTGAGAGGCAGAGTTATGGACAGAGAAAGGGAGGGACAGAGAGAAAGGTCTTCCAGCCACTGGTTCCCTCCTCAAATGGCTGCAACAGCCAGAGCTGGGCCAATTCAAGCCAAAAGCCAAGAGCTTCTTCCAGGTCTCCCATGAGGGCCCACAAACTTGGGCCGCCTACCACTGCTTTCCCAGGCACATCAGCAGACAGCTGGATCAGAAGTGGAGCAGTCGGGACTCAAACAGGTGCCCATATGGGATGCTAGTGCTGCTGACGGAGGCTTAGCCTACTATGACACAGCCAGGCCCTGTTTAAATCCACATTCAAATCCAGTTCTTGCCAGGAAAGATTTCCCTCAAAGTTTAGTCTCCTGACTGTACTATAGCACAGCTACAAACCTCTGTACCACATTGGGACCCCCATTTCTGAGCCATTCCCCTCCCCGCAGCAGCATATGTAAGGAATGTGTGCTAGGGAGTCTGAGAAGTGAGCATTGATTTGCACACAGCAGCTGTTTGGTGGTTAATTAGTTGCCTAGTCAAGGTCAGTTGATGGTCGGACAATTCCTAAAAGCAAAAGCACAAAAGGAAACCACTGGGTAAAATGTGAAGTAAGATAGCAATTTGGGCTTTAAGCATCTTAAGGAAAATGTATATACAACTAGATGGCAATTTCATTGACAAGAAACAGTTTAAATATGTGTCTATATTCGTGTACATAAATAAGATCAGAAGACAATGCAAATGGATTATTAATAGATGATAGAATATCAAGGGTTTATTTTTTACAAAAATCTTATTCACACTTCTATTTTTCACCTTTTTATAGTGCATAGATATTCCTTCTAGAGAGAAAATATGTGTTATGTAGCAACCCTCACCAATATTTTAGGGATGAGAAAGAAAGGCATAATCTTATGTTAGTAGGGCCTAACTTGTATTTACCAATCTTTCCTCCTCCACTACAGTAAGTTTGGAGAAAGAAAAGAACCATTCAGAGGTCATGGAACATTCCACCAACCTGATTAGCTCATGTGCTCTGGTGCTCATACAAGCTCACCTGTTTTCAAGTATGCCTGCCCTAAAACTGTGTGAGAGCAGACAAGCTGCAATCGCTGGTGGGGGAGGAGACTGTCCACTTCTCATTTTTTGGAATTGCATATTTCCACTCCATGTTATATTTAGTCAATCCTCACACAGAAAAAGAAAAAATAAAACCTGTTTTCCAGACTTTTGGCATGCCAGCTTTTCATCAAGGGAATGCAAAGCAGAGTGCCCAGCGAGCCTCACAAAATTTAGGGATTTATGTGAGACCTTTCATCTGTGTCCATTTGAAATGTTCCCTGCAAGGCAGCTGCGAAGAGCTGGGATTCACCGTTTGAAAAGGCCTTACCTTAAGGACTGGATACACTGGCTCAAGTGTTGCTTCAGCTCCTCTTCCTTCTCGTAGGACTCCAGGACACTGTGCGCTTCATCGTGGTGGTAGCAGTAGATTTTATAAATATCTTCCAGTGGCCCTTTAATCTGCAGGAACACTTCGCCTGCGAAATGCAAAACACAGGCAAATGACATCAGTTCTGATCAAACTGGAACTCCACATTATTCAACAATGCTGACTAGTGTAAGAGTTGGATGGGTCCCACCTTCTCCCTGGGGTTTTCAGGAGGTGTAGAAGTCATAGAGTGATTTTCTTCTCTTTCCTTTCCTCTCCTCTCCTCTTCCTTCTTTCCGCTCTCGCCTGTCCCTCCCCCCTTACTTTCTTTCATAAAGCAAAGAATGAAGAACTTAACAGAAATAGGCAGCAGAAGAAAGCTGGGGTTCTCTCAGAGGTGACTTTGCACGGTAGGACAGTGTGTAGGATTGTGGCTAGGCCAGTTGTGGGTTTGTCCAAGTGGGTATGGATGGGCTGTGTATTAGACTGGCTTTGATATTTGAGCAATTTATTTTAATTCCTTGAACCTATTTCCTGTTTTAGAAAATTATGGCAATAACAGATTCAATTTCATAGATTCATAATAAAATTAAAAGAGATCGTGTTTGGAAAGTTCAGAGTTAATTATGTACATAGTAAATGCTTAAAAGGGAGCAGTATTTGCTAATTTTCTAGTAGGATAGGATTTCAGGTGTTATTTTTCAATATTTATTTCACTAACGTTGCCTGAGGTTTCTGAAAATCAGCATTGGAGTTCAGCAAAATGAAATATTTCTGTATATGGGATATAAAAGGTCATTATTTTTTAAAATGTCAATTGGATAACATTATGAACAAAGGTTATGACTGTATCCTCATAAAGCAGCCTGAGCTAATTGTGTCCAGCCATTTAATGAATCCTCTTTGAAATTATAGTAAAATTGGGTCTATGACTGGTTGCCTACGTAGCTTTTGAATTGGTTTGATTTAAACACCCACTGCATCACTTACAGATGAATGCTAAGCATCCTCGACCCAACCCAGCACCACGTGAGATGATTTGGGAGATGCAAGAGGATGTGATGGCACGTGCTTGCATTAACTGTTTAACTCCCCATGTATATGAAGAGATAAGGAGTCATTCATTTATGTTACTTAAGGAGGAACGAATCTGGGTTCGAAAGAAATGATGACTTTCACAAAGTCCTGTCAGGAGGTGAAAGGCCAGAAATGAAGGCCATATTCTTATCAGTTTTTCCCTTGGGTTTTAACCCTCCACACATCAGAGCACTGGACACTGTGCCAGATGATATGGTTGGAAAGAATCTGAAACCATTTAGAGTTTGTATGATGACTTTGAAAATGACCTTTACAAAATTGTTTCAGTATCTTCATTTCAATTGTAAAACGAAAGTAAGGTAGCTATGGAGATGAATTTGAGAATAAAATTGAATGACAGATATTAAATGTGGCAGCCACTAAGTTGCTCGGTAATAATCAATTGTCTTTTAAGTCTACTTTACTATCACTAGAACCAAAATATGAGTACTTTTAAAAGTATCACATCCTTTTCTCATTTACATTAATATAAGACTTTTCTTTCTTCTTCTTTATTTATAGAGATTTTTTCCTGTGATTATAGTTAGCCCCCAAGGTAATGTGAAGGGAGTGTATGTGTATTTTAAAGTTTTTGTTTGTTTTAATAGCACTTTTGGGGGCCTGTAAGAAGAGAATGAACATCTTTGGAGCTTAGGGGAAGAGCAATTCTGATTTTATTTCTGAGACTTTACTGAGTTGATCCTTGTAGATGCTATAGATTTTTTTCTTTAAGACAGCAGCACAAACAGTAAGAAATAGAGCAGTTAAGAAGAGAAAATAAAATAGGCCAGTAACTGAGTTTAGGTTTGGGAGTTAGGAAAACAAGGCTCCAGCAGCAGACCCAGTCAGTGGGGTTTCCAAAGGGAGGGAATACAGGCCCAGAAGTGGGCATGGGTGACAGGCGGGTAGGCAGGCTCAGCAGCAGGTTGGGAACAGAGGATCTGAGTGCACACAGCCACACACAAGAAGTTATAAATATGTATGCTCAGTATAAAGGTGCCATGATTAGAGACAAAAAAAAACAAGGTAAAGACAACTCCATGGATCCATAATATGATCAAATCAGAAAGTCAAAAAACAAAAAAGAACAATGACACTAATTTTCTGCACAATGAAACCATTATATTTTCTTTAACAGGTGTTGTCTAGTTTGAGAGAATTTATAGCTCTCGGCTTAAGAGCAGGATCAGTTTTTTCCCCCTCTTTTCCAAGTAAAACTCAGTTGGGGCTTGAATAGTAATTATTAAAGTTAAAAGATATTTAAGTGCTCTAATTGAAAGTCATTTATTCAGCCCAAGGCCAAATACAACGCTAGTGGGAAGAATATTTGATTCCCCTCCCAACCCTCCCCATGTATTCTGCTTCATAATAGTGCAGACGAAGCGAGGTGTCTCACAGCAAAAGTGATTCTGTTTCCACGGTAACGTAAGAATCCACTGCGTTTCTTTAGTATCGAAGGACAACTGCTCTAATGTGCGTGGGTTTGAAGGGATGATTGGGAGCAGAGAAGGGACTGAACCACTGAAGATAATTTCACTTCTGACTGCCTGACACAAAGGCACCAGAATCCTATTAAATAAATAAAACTACCATGTTCTTTCTAAAAATTCTACAAGAATTTCTGCGTTGGCTTCCCCACAAAGCTCCCCCACAAAGCTCTGCAAAAGAGAAAGGAAAAATACATCCTTTTACATTTAATTTGTTACTTCCTTTAAAAACAACCCCTCCCACCACCACTAAAACTGAACATTTTCAATGTCCTGGTGTTGTTACTCTTATATTTCACATTATTTCCTTAGTGATTAAATATAATAAAGGTTATTTTCCTGACCACCTCTCCTGTTTTCCCAGGCCCTCATGTCCATCCCCATGAGGTGTCATACCAAACAACATGGCTTCTATATTATTCTGGGCTAGGCTTTGTTTAGGAAAGTGGCATAAAGTAGTCATACTTTTTAGTTCATTTTCTTTGACAGTTTTCTGGATGACTATTATGTACCAAATACCTTGGTTGGTACTACAAATACTAAGAACCACATTTCACTCAAGGAACTTATACAGGTCAGCAAGGAAGAGAGAGAAGACTCAACTCTCATTTACTCTACCTTTTTTTTTTTTTTGAAAGATTTTATTTATTGTGAAAAGTACAATAATAGAGCTATGAAGCACATATAGGTAGCTTTTCTACCCTTGGGGATCTTTGAGCTATTACATAATAACTTGACCTTGAAATTTGAGCTATGAGTGAGAGCAAAAGCAAGGAAAGAAGGCAGGCTTTTGGCACAGTGTTTAATTCTATTTGGGATGCCTGCATCCCATAGGAGAGTGCCTGGGTTTGAGTTCCAGCTCCCCTCAAGATTCTACCTTCCTGCTGGTATACACTTGGGAGGCAGCAGGTGATGGCTCAAGTAATGTGGGAGACTTGGGTTCGGGCCTGGCTTCTGGCTTCAGCCTGTTCCGGCCCAGCCTATTGCAGGCATCTGTGAAGTGAACCACCAGATGGAAGATCTCTGTCTCACTGCCTTTCAAATAAATATATAAGTAAATGAATAAATAACTAATATAGTTTATAGCAAGGAAATAGGTGCACTAAGGGGTAAGGTGAGTTGAGGAACTTTGAGAGATCTGATATGGTGTTCGGGACTGTGTCTGTGAAGTTTCAGAGGAGGTTATAGGGCTGGGCAGGGGCTGGGTCAGGAAGGACCTTGTAGGTTATTATGGAGCTTGAACTTTAACCAGGTGGTGATGGAGAAGCACTGGTGCACTTTAGGCGACAGATCAAGATCATTAGATCATGTTTTAGAAAGATTACTCTGGTAGTCCTAAGGAAGAAGTTAGGAGAGGAGTTAGTGAAACTGAGTAAGAGAGAATAAACCAGTCGGAAGGCTTTGAGAATAATCAAGCAATAAACGAGAAGGGCTAAAGTGGGAAGTCATCACAGTTGAAAAAGAGACTGTTCCAGCCTCACAGGCCTGGAATCAAACCCCCGTTTTGCCATTGATCTGATGTATGTCACTTGGGAGAGGTACCTGACTTCTGTTTGGTCATTTCCTCACCTGTAACATGGGGATAAAAGTAACAGTATTTAATAATAATAATAGTAACAGTATTTCAAACAGTTTTCTGTTTGAAAACTACATGAGTTAAAATATGTTGTGTGTATCAGGACAGTAGGTGGCATGTGCCAGTGCTCCATAACTGCTCTAATTCCGAAGGCGTAGTCACGGAGGATGGCTAAGAGGGAGGAAACGGCCACTGAACACGTGAGGGATGAAAACTCCACAGCGAGCCAGGACCCTGGTTGCAGGGGTCATGTGGGTAAACAGTGATGACATGAGAAGGAGAGCGTTTAGATGGGAGAGGTGATGAGTTTAATTGTAAATAGACTGAGTTTGAGTTGCCCATTCTGTATTCAAGTGGACAACTCTTCCGTAGAATTGGATATTTGAATCTGGGATTCAGGAAGATAATATCTGAGAGAAAATGTAGATTTTAAAAAATCAAGTAGAAGCCACAGATTTGATGTGGTCTTGCCAGAAAGTCTACACAGTGAGAAATAAAGAGGTTCTGAGGGTCAAATGCCAGTGAATGCAAACAATGAGGGGCTTCTAGAAGAAAATGTATGCAGAGAGGCCTGAGATGGCATAGCCAGAGAGAAGAGAGAGAAACTAGGAGTGGTGTCAGGAAAACCAAGTTCAATATGAGAAATACTGCAGAGGCTGAATATGTTTATGGGTGACAGAGCATGCTTATTATCCACTAGGAGTGGTGCTTTTTTCTTCTGAAACAATACAATTTTTGGCTACCCCAAAATAAAACTACATTGTCCAGCCTCTCTTGCATTCAGTGTGGCCATATAATTAAAGCCCAGCAATGGGATATAAGTGATAATGTCCAGATTTTGTTTTTGTTTGAGAAGGATGGAGGGAGAGGGAGAGGGAGAGGGAGTGGGAAAGGGAGAGGGAGAGAAAAAGGGAGAAAGCTCTCATTTACTGGTTCACTCCTCAAATGTCTGCAATGCTGCAATGGCCA